AGAGATTATTAGAGCCGGTACCCGAGATCCAACTAGTTTGGATGATTCGAAACATTATATTATTGCATTTTTAATATTAATAAAAAAATTCTATTAATTCTTATTATTTATAATTTAATAAAATTATATAAAAGTCAATATGATATATATTACATTGATGATTGATTAATAGATGTGGGATAAATATCAATTCATATAAATTATATCATTAAATGTTCCAAGTCATAACATTGTTAAGATTGGACATTGACAATATGTGATAAGACTTGTGAGTGCGATGATCTTACTATAAGATAACAATAGGAGATCTCACACCTACTAGCATGGTAATGCCAAAGCAAACAAATAAGTGAATAATATTAGAAAATATATCAATGGACATGATTCATCATGAGAACTCATTTGGTATAATCTATGGGAATCTTATACGAAATGGGTATAAGTAGTCTTTTGATTTAAAGTTATCATGGTTATCATTGGTATCGGTTGACATTCATTTCAATATGCTCATTAAAGAGTTACAAGTGATTGATTCGTTAGGTACATCGGAATCTAATTGAGATAGGTAGATAACTAAGGTAGGATATTATATTCCTTATATGCTAAAAGAGTTAATACACTGCACTTCAATAACTATTTGTTCAAGAATGCTGTGGCCATAATAGAAGTATACTAGTAAAGTATGATTGGTTTACTTGAGAGTTAAGACATTCGAGAGATAAAAAAAAACTTGTGTGATCATGATCGAACATACAACAAACCAAGTTTGAGATCACACTTGTAATAAATTGGTATAATGACTAAATTATATGAAAACCATAGTTGTGAAAGGGTATTGTGAAGTAAGTAATCTTTTTCGATAATTAGGTAGTCATGATGTCTTGTTAGAGGTCAATCTTGATTTATGTATCAACGAGATAAAAGAAGTGTCTTATACTTTTCGAAACATTGCCAATATATGTAAAAACCTATTAAGTCACACGTATAAGTTTAAACATTCACACGATAAAAGAGAAGTAAAGAATTTTAAAAAAAGTTTCATAATTTGAAAATTAGATTCGTAAAATAAAAATTAGTTTCTTAATTTGAAAATCGGTTTCCTAATTTAGAAGTTAGTTACCTAAATTAGAAATCGGTTTCCTAAAATGAAAATCAATTTCTTATTTTGGAAATCGGTTTCCTAATTTGGGTTTAATAAACTAAATGGTAAATTAGGAAATTATTTCCTAATGTGGGCCTCCCTAAAATACATGACCTAGTTTATTTAGATAGTCCAAATTAATTGTTGAGTTATTAAGCTAAAGGAGTTTGAGCCAACGAGGATTAAGTGAAATCCTACATTTGGTATTTTAAGTAGAAAGGTATTTTTGAAAGCTTAAAGAAAAAGGTCATTAAACCTAATTTAAGATATATAAGGATAAGATCCATCAAAACCATGTAAGATACAACTCCCTTCCTAAATATGAGGTGTGGCTAAATATATAAAGAGAGAGAAAGATGTAATTTCTTTAACAAAAAGAAATTGCACCACCCTCCTTTAGAAAGAAATTGTGTTATCTTCCTTTAAGAGATTTATTGTGATGAAAAATTATAAATAGCAAAAAAATTAGAACTAGCATTCTAGATCTTTCTGTTGCTTCTTGTATAAGTGTTTAACTGCGTGGATCATCACTTAGAGATCGAACGCTTAAATGGTTCAATCCGTAAATTAGATTCTTTGCTACAAGAGGTAAAATCTAATCCACCTTGTTAATAAAGTTTGTTAATTCAATAGGCTGATCTTGGGACTTTAGATAAAGGAGAATAAAATTTTTGTTTATTTTGCACCTTCATAAAATGCATGATCCTTCAAGTAGTAATTTAAAAACTTCTTAAAAATGAACATTTGTTATTTTTTGTTTGCTCTTATTTTGCTATGACCTCTTAGATATTAAGAGTAAGAGATAATGGATATAAGGGCTTGACGTAGACATTTTCTTGAGTAAGTGTTTAAAGAATAGTTTTCTAACACTAATGCACCCAAAATTCCCTCCATGTCTTTCAAATGCTTAAGTCTCTCTATGTGCATACGAAATAAGAAAAGATCAAAGAAAAAAACCACCTTTGAATCTATTCATAGATGATTATCCGGTAATTTTTTTTCATTTCTCCCTTTCATTTATCATCTTATTGCATGAAACAACATGTGCGAGTCATCATCATTGTTTCTAATTAGGAAACTTTTCTTCATTTCTCCCCCTCATTATGAACTTACTAAGTTTTTTAGCATTTTTACTACAAGGTATTGGTTTTTTTTAACATATAAGTTACTAAATGTATAAAAATGTATTTCAAACAAATTATATGTATTAATCATGCCACTATAATTTAAAAATTATCTAAATCTACTTTTCAAAAGAAAAAAAAATCATATTCGAAACTTTTTTCCAAAATTCATACATATAGAAAAATAAATCAAAGCTGTCACCAATATAATTTTAAATTAATTGGATGAAAATTAAAAAAATAATAATAAATTAAAGTAGTAAATTTTAAATAATAAAAATAACTAACAAAAAATACTAAAACAAAATGGGACCAAATCACAATATAATTAAAGTTTGAAATTGAAAAAAATATGTATAGAAAAGTTGAAGACCATATAACTTTAAATTAATTGGATGAGAATTTTTTTAAAAAATGACAAATTAAAGTAGTAAACTTTAAATAAAAAAAATAATGAATAAAAAACACTAAAATAAAATGAGACCAAATCACAATATAATTACAGTTTAAAATAAAAGAAATAGAATTTTAAAAAAATAAAAAATTAAATTAGTAATCTTAAATAATAAAAATAATTAGTAAAAAACACTAAAGTAAAATGGGACAAAAAAAAAGTATTTCAGACAAATTATATATATTAATCATGCCACTATAATTTAAAAATTATCTAACTATATTTTTCCAAAGAAAAAATAATCATGTTCTAAAATTTATTCCAAAATCCATACATATAGAAAAATAAATCAAAACTATTAGTAAATACAATTTTAAATTAATTGTATGAGAATTTAATAAAAAATGATAAATTAAAGTTGTAAATTTTAAATAATAAAAATAATTAACAAAAAAATTAAAACAAAATGGGACCAAATCACAATACAATAAAGGTTTGAAATTGAAAAAAAAATGTATAGAAAAATTGAGGACCATAAAATTTTAAATTAATTGGATGAGAATTTTTTTTAAAAATGACATATTAAAATAGTAAATTTTAAATAATAAAAATAATTAACAAAAAAAAACTAAAACATAATGGGACCAAATCACAATATAATTAAAGTTTGAAATTGAAAAAAAGAAGATAATTTAAAAAAATGACAAATTAATATTGCAAATATTAAATAATAAAACTAATTAACAAAAAATACTAAAAAAAATGGGATCAAATCACAATACAATTAAAGTTTGAAATTGAAAAAAAAACTATAAAAAAATTAAGGATCAAAATGTTACAAAAGTATCATAAATAGTGAAAGGAATAGTGATTTGTGAGTGTGTAAATAGTATTATGAATGGTAAATAATGATTTTGCTTTAGTGTTTTTTATAATTTGTGTTGGACAAAAAATTAGAGATTGTTTTAATTTTTGTATCATGCTCTAACCCCTTGTTTGGATAGGGTGGAAAATGTGGGAGAGGAAAGAAAATAGGGAGGAAATGAAAAGTTTCCTCCGTTTGGTTTGAAGAAGAAAGTTGGGGAAAGAAAAAAAATATTAACAAAGCTAAAAGTGGTGGGACCCATTTTCCTCCCAAAATTGGGAGGAAATGGGGAGAAAACGAAAGGAAGCTGATTTGTCTCATTTTTCTTCCGGTTTCACCCTTGCCAGCCGTTCCTTCTCCTTTCTTCCCCGCCCATCTCGTCTCTGCGCAAAGCCACTCTCTCGCTCTCGCTTACCAACGACCCATCATCGAACTTCGCAAACCCCATCTTTCATTTCCGCCATTGCTCGTCGTTCCCTTTTGTTTCTCGGCCGATCTCGCCTCGCCTCTGCAAACCCACTCTCTCTCTCTCGCTGAATCCATTACCAAAACAGTCTTGAAACTCATCTCTGCAAACCCCATCCGCCGGTTACGCACTTACATGCCGTTCCCTTCGTTGTATTGTCCGATCTCGCCTCTGCAAACCCACTCCCTCTCTCTCGCTGAATCCATTACCAACATCCCATAATTTGTTTTTTGTTTTTTTCGGTTTCTTGCATCCAACGAGCGTCTCCACAGGTGTTTCCGAGCAGATGAAGGTTACACCCATTCGCGACTCCTCCAAAGTTTGTAGCGTCGGCGAGGCGGAGTAATGTTTTGTTTGATTTTGTTCTTTGTCATTCAATTGATGGGTTGTGTTTGATCTATAAGGTGTGAGGGCAAAGGACGAGTGCCCTTGATTGGAATGCCGGGATCGGAGAAAGATGATGATGAGGAGGTCTATTGGACGGGGAGTCTTAATTTGAGCAAAATAATGGGTATGAAGTGGAATCTATTACCCTTGATTGAGTTATTTGCATTTGTGTGCATTATGGGGCTGTTAATTGCTAGCTTGACCATTGATAGGTTGCTAAATTCAAAGATTTTGAGTTTGAAATTATGGAAATGGTATGTGCTCGGATTAGTTATTGTTAGTGGTAGATTGTTTACCGAGTGGTTTATGAATGTTTTGGACATGATTGTTTATTGAGTAGTTTGAAATTAAGCGAGGGCTGCTTGCTTATAAGATTTTCGGGAACATGGCAAAGCCTTATGGCAAGTGAGGATATCCGCCTTCTAAAATGCGAGAGGCTTCGGTCGATCTCACATCCGCCTTGTAAGGAGACTCTCTCTCTCAAGCATCCGAAGCTGCTTGATGTGGATTAAAAGTTTTGAGCTTTTTCTTTTTGGTTATGGTTGATTCTAGCTAGTTGATCTGTATTTTAACTTTGCTGCATTTTTTTATTAATGAGTTTTCTCTTACCTCTTGTTTTATAGAGAACGACAAAGTATCGACTTCAAAAAGATAGATGTTCATGTTCACCGATTGAAGGGCGACGAACTCCGGGTATAAGTTTGTTTCCTAAACAACTATAAAAAGCTTTCTTGAGTGTTTTTTTTTTTTTGAAGTATTAGGTCGTATTTAATATGAAGTGCATTTAACTCGACAAAAAGAGCTCACATCTAAGACATGACCTAGAAAAATTAGATACGGAATTTTATAAATTATTGGTTTTTCTTGTCGGCTCATTTTTCTTTTTTTACAAAAGATGGATTCCTTAACTCATTTTGTTTACAAAATTAGATTTTGCATTATACGAGCATAGGGGCAAAGAGAGTTAAAAATGATCGCATTCCTTTCCGCAGACTTCGCGAGATACGGAACATTGAAGGGTGAGTTATTTTCCTCTACTTCATTCTCCAGATTGTTTTATTTTATTGTTTCAATGTATTTTCCAAGTTCTTTTTTTTTCCTCGGTTAGCAATTGAATGTAAGGATTGTTATTTTTAAATGATGTAATATTTAATATTTCAATTACATGTAATTGGTTACTTGGGATTGCGAGTGCTGAGATGCTGCGATAAGTGAAACGAGATTACTTGTCTTGTGAAGAGCAAGCTTGAAGCACTCATCGGGGTGAGTACAATGTCCTTTTACTTCCATTTATTTCAAGAAATCTAGTTATTGAATTCTTTTATATTGATGTTTTTGTTTTTCAAATGCAATGTTGTGTGTCTATTGCAGTTGAGCAACATGATTATGATAGGCTGGTGGGTCGACTCCTATGAAAGAATTGAGTTTTTAAGGCTATCAATGCGAGTGCAAGGAAAGCTATAAAAAATGGGAGGATTACTTGTAGAGAAGCTTTTTGGGTTTTTGTGTTCTATTGCTCTCACTTGTAAGATTCCGTTTAACTAATGAGGTTGTGCTTGTATGAATTTCATGAAGATACGGTCCATCAACTACCACTTATCAATACGTGTAGAGAACCATTGCTCTTCATGCTTTTCTTTAGTTCTTCATGCTAGAAATCTATAGTGTATAGTTTGGACGGATCATTAATAAAATTCGAGAGCCGCATCCAATATGATCTCGTGACATGGATTCTTGTTCATTCAAAATTTCTAGATGTTAATAAAATATCTTATTTTTTTATCAATATTTTTATAATATATATATTTCTTTTTCTTTTTTATTTTTGAAAATAAAAAACAAACTAAATTCAAAATAACATAAAATAAATAACAATGATTAAATAATTAATTTTTGAAACAAAAAGGATAAACTAATTTGTATCTCAAAACTAGAAGTACTTTATAATTTACTCACGCCATGAGCATTTAAATGGGTTTGTATTTAAAAGGAAAAAAAAATTGGGTTTAGGAATGTTATAGAATATAGCATTAGTAGCGGTGTAAAGTTATGTGATGAAATTAGAATGCTTATTTTCACTTTTCATCATCCAAGACGACAATTTTCGGATTTTGAGGATATAAAATATAACAAAAATAGTAATGTCAAGTTATGCGGTGAAATTTTCATAATTGAAAAAAATAGATGGATTTATAATCACATAAGAAAATTAAACTCATAACTTGAGGGTGATAAATAAGTAAGAATCCAAGCTAAAACTTGGGTGAAAATCAAACTCGATCCTGAAGCCGTTACCAACATCCCCCCAAAACCCTTACAGAGCAACTCCTTTGGAAAGGCCATTTGAACCACCAAAGAAGATCCAAAAACATAGCCCTAAACCAGCTTCAAAACCACCTAAAACAATCCCAAAAAACCCTCAAAAAAATAGGCCTAAAACCAATCCCAAAACAGACCCAACACCTACCCAAAAGCCTCCAAACTCAGCCACGAAGCTGTTACCAACAGCCCCCAAAACCCTTACAGAGCAACTTCTTTGGAAAGGCCATTTGAACCACCAAATAAGCTCCAAAAACACCCCCAAACCAGCTTCAAAACCACCCAAAAAAATCCCAAAAAACCCTCAAAAAATAGGCCTAAAACCAACCCCAAAACAGACCCAACACCTACCCAAAAGCCCCCAAACTCAGCCACGAAACTGTTACCAACAGCCCCGAAAACCCTTACAGAGCAACTCCTTTGGAAAGGCCATTTGAACCACCATAGAAGCACCACAAACACCCCCAAACCAGCTTTAAAACCACCCAAAAAACCCCCCAAAAAACCCTCAAAATAGACACAAAATACCCCTCAAGACAACCCCTCGAACACTTTTTGGAGTTACTGCAAAAGAAGAAATAAAAATTATTTGTGATTTGTCTTATTTTTTGTGATTCAATTGACTTTCCATGATTGTTCGCAATGTTACCATATACTCTCTTTTTTTTAATTGCTAAATAGTAATTGTTTATTCTAAAAAAGAAATAGAGAAAATGATGGATAAAAGCAACTAACTTATTATATGCATAGATAATAATACATATTATACATATTTAAATTAATTTTATGTTGATAATTAATCTAAATTGGCTATTGAATTAATTAATTAATAAACAGTTATCGATTATTCTATGGAGACGATTCATTATCTATCTTATCATTTTAGATATATGCTACATACTAGATTTTTATTTTATTATCATTTGTGTTATTTTCATGAAAAAAATATTCATACAAATTTATTATCCCCTTGTTTGGATAATTCCTCTTGGGAGGAAAGAAAAGAGAGGAAAGAAAGTGAGAGAAAAGAAAAGAGGGAGGAAAGAAAATCATTTTCCACTTGTTGTTTGGATAAGGGTGAAAAGGAAAGGAAAGAAATACATTTCTCTTGTTTGGATAATTATAAAAAGAGGAAGGAAAGAAAATGTATTATTGTATATTTACTATAATACCCCTATGATTATATTTCTATATTTAAATACTTATAATAAATTTGTATGAATATTTTTTCATGAAAATAACACAAATGATAATAAAATAAAAATCTAGCATGTAGCATATATCCGAAATGATAAGATAGATAATGAATCGTTTTCATAAAATAATCGATAACTCGTTTATTAATTAATTAATTCAATAGCCAATTTAGATTAATTATCAACATAAAATTAATTTAAATATGTATAACATGTATTATTATCTATGCATATAATAAGTTAGTTGCTTTTACTCATCATTTTCTCCGCTTTTTTTTCTTAGAATAAACAATTACTATTTAGCAATTAAAAAAAATAAAGTATATGGTAACATTGCAAACAATCATGGAAAGTCAATTGAATCACAAAAAATGAGACAAATCATAAATAATTTTTATTTGTTCTTTTGCAGTAACTCCAAAAGCTTGTTCGAGGGATCTTTTGTGTATATTTCGAGGGTTTTTTGGGGGGTTTTTTGGGTGGTTTTGAAGCTGGTTTGGGAGTGTTTGTGGTGCTTCTATGGTGGTTCAAATGGCCTTTCCAAAGGAGTTGCTCTGTAAGGGTTTTCGAGGGTCGTTAGTAACGGTTTCGTGGTCGAGTTTGATTTTCACCAAAGTTTTAGCTTGGATTCTTACTTGTTTATCACCCTCAAGTTGTGAGTTTGATTTTCTTATGTGATTATAAATCCATCTATTTTTTTCAATTATGAAAATTTCACCGCATAACTTGACATTACTATTTTTGTTATATTTTATATCCTCAAAATCCGAAAATTTTCTTCTCGAATGATGAAAAGTGAAAATAAGCATTCTAATTTCATCACATAACTTTACACCCCTACTAATGTTATATTCTATAACATTCCCAAACCCAAATCTTTTTTTTTCCTTTTAAATATTGGCAAACCCATTTAAATGCTCATGGCCGAGTAAATTATAAAGTTCTTCTAGTTTTGAGATACAAATTAGTTTATCCTTTTTGTTTCAAAAATTAATTATTTAATCATTGTTATTTATTTTATGTTATTTTGAATTTAGTTTGTTTTTTATTTTCAAAAATAAAAAAGAAAAATAAATATATATATTATAAAAATATTGATAAAAAAATAAGATATTTTATTAACATCTAGAAATTTTGAATGAACAAGAATCCATGTCACGAGATCATATTGGATGCGGCTCTCGAATTTTATTAATGAGTCATCCAAACTATACACTATAGATTTCTAGCATGAAGAACTAAAGAAAAGCATGAAGAGCAATGGTTCTCTGCACGTATTAATAAGTGGTAGTTGGATCGTATCTTCATGAAATTCATACAACCACAACCTCATTAGTTAAACGGAATCTTATAGTGAGAGAAATAGAACACAAAAACCCAAAAAAGCTTCTCTACAGTAATCCTCCCATTTTTTATAGCTTTCCTTGCACTACATTGATAGCCTTAAAAACTCAATTCTTCCATAGGAATCGACCCACCAGCTGTCACAATCTGTTGCTCCGCTGCAATAGACACACGAGCATAGCATTTGAAAAACAAAAACATCAATATAAAAGAATTCAATAAATAGATTTCTTGAAATAAATGGAAGTAAAAGTACATTGTACTCACCACGATGAGTGCTTCAAGCTTGCTCTTCACAAGACGAGTAATCCTGTTTCACTTGTCTGCAGGCATCTCGAGCACCTACGATCCCGGTAACCAATTACATGTAATTGAAATATTAAATATTACATCATTTAAAAATAACAATCCTTACATTCAATTGCTAATCGAGGGAAAAAAAAAGAACTTGGAAAATACATTGAAACAATAAAATAAAACAATCTAGAGAATGAAGTAGAGGAAAATAACTCACCCTTCGATGTTCCGTATCTCGCGAAGTTTGTGAAAAGCAATGCGATCATTTTTAACTCTCTTTGCCCCTATCTTTGTATAACGCAAAATCCAATTTTGTAAACAAAATGAGCTAAGGAATCCATCTTTTGTAAATAAAAGAAAAATGAGCTGAAAAGAAAAACCAATAATTTATAAAATTACGTATCTAATTTTTCTAGGTCATGTCTTAGATGTGAGCTATTTTTGTCGAGGTTAAATGCACTTCATATTAAATACGACCTAATACTTCAAAAAAAAAAAAACACTCGAAAGCTTTTTATAGTTGTTTAGGAAACAAACTTATACCTAGAAGTCACTTGCCCTTCAATCGGTGAACATGAACATCTATCTTTTTGAAGTCGATACTTTGTTGTTCTCTATAAAAACAAGAGGTACGAGAAAACTCATTAAAAAAAATGTAGCAAAGTTAAAATACGATCAATTAGCTAGAATCAACCATAACCAAAGGGAAAAAGGTCAAAACTTTTAATCCACATCAAGCAATTTCGGATGCTTAGAGAGAGAGTCTCCTTACAAGGCGGATGTGAGATCGATCGAAGCCTCTCGAAATTTTCAAAGAAGATAGATAACACTTCGGTAATGATATCTAGGTCGCTCTCATCTTCCGTAAGCTAAACTCGTTGAAGCTGGGCATCCGAAACCCCTTCTTCATAACAAATAAATCGAAGGGATTTTTAGAAGGCGGATATCCTCACTTGCCATGAGGCTTTGCCACGTTCCTTAAAATCTTATAAGCGGCGGCCCTTGCTTAATTTCAAACTACTCGATAAACAATCATGTCTAAAACATTCATAAACCACTCGGTAAACAATCTACCACCGACAATAACTAATCCGAGCACACACCATTTCCATAATTTCAAACTCAAAATCTTTGAATTCGGTAACCTATCAATGGTCAAGCTAGCAATTAATAGCCCCATAATGCACACAAATGCAAATAACTCAATCAAGGGTAATAGATTCCACTTCTTACCCATTATTTTGCTCAAATTAAGACTCGCCGTCCTATAGATCTCCTCATCATCATCTTCCTCCAGATCCTGGCGTTCCAATCAAGGGTAGTTGTCCTTTGCCCTCACACCTTATAGATCAAACACAACCCATCAATTGAATGACAAAGAACAAAATCAAACAAAACATTACTCCGCTCTGCCGACGCTACAAACTTTGGAGGAGCTGCGAATGGGTGTAACCTTCGCTGCTCGAAAACACCCGGGGAGACGATGTCGGATACAAGAAACTGGAAAAAACAAAAAACAAATTATGGGTTGTTGGTAACGGCTTAAGAGAGAGAGAGAGGTGGGTTTGCGAGAGGCGAGTTTCGGGGGTAACGGATTCGGCGAGAGAGAGGGAGTGGGTTTGCAGAGGCGAGATCGGCGAGAGAAAAGAAGGGAACGACGAGCGAGGGTGGAAATGGAAGATGGGGTTTGCGAGAGACGAGTTTCGTGGTCGTTTTGGTAACGGATTCGGCGAGAGAGAGAGAGTGGGTTTGCAGAGGCGAGATCGGCAAACAAAGGGAACGGCATGCAAGGGCGGAAATGGAAAAAGAAAAACACAAATCCCTTTCCTCCCGTTTTTCTCCCTATTTCCTCCCAATTTTGGGAGGAAAATGGGTCCCACCATTTTTGCATTCTTTATTTTTTTTTTTTCATTCCACTGCTTTCCTCCCTCTTCCCAAACGAGAGAAACATTTCTTTTCCACCCACTTTTCTTTCCTCTCCCTCACTTTCCACCCTATCCAAACAAGGGGTATAAGTATTTAAATATAGAAATATAATCACAGAAGTATTATAGTAGATATACAATAATATATTTTATTTCCTTTCTCTTTTTACAATTATCCAAACAAGTGAAATATATTTTCTTTCTTTTCTTTTCCACCCTTATCCAAACAACAAGTGAAAAATAATTTTCTTTACTTCTTTTTTCTTTTCTCCCATTTTCTTTTGTCTCTTTTCTTTTCTTTCGAGAGGAATTATCCAAACAAGGGGTAAAACTAAAATCGTAAAATATCATAGTGACACTTGAAGACAAAAACAAGATTGCAATTCTATGGCTGAAATTAATAAAGTAATAAGATGATATTATATTGTTTTGTCATTTTTTGTTCTATATTTTATAAGCACGCAGTCTTCTTTTTGTTCGTTGAGTGGTTGATTGTAATCGGCCTTTTCTCACCGAATCTACTGAACTCTGCCAGAGATGTCAAGTCGAAAAAATTTGACATATTAAGAAAAGTAATTAACAATAATTATTTTAAAATTTTATTTTGAAAAAAGAGATAAAAAAAATACACCCTAGCTTATCAAAATTCATTTTTAAAAAATTATTATTATTATTATTATTTTTTCATCATATGTTTTTCTCTTCATAGTAAGGAAAAAAAATTTCAAGTCAACTCAACTAAAGTAGGAAGGATTTGTTACGTAGAATCTAGCCAAAATCAAAATTAATGACTTTGTAATAACTGAAGTCTGATTCATGGGCCAAATTAATCGCATTATGCACAAAAAAAATCAAATAATTTTAGTTCACGTGAATGATGCAGTGGAATATCCTTTCTTTGACAAGACCGTTTTTGTTTTCTTATGGCAGGAATTAATTGGCTTAATTTTAGTGATTTACTTGCCATAGAGAGGCGTATCCAATTTGAATTGCAAAAGAGCAGGGTTTGTACTAATACAGGTCAGATCCACCTATCCAACAAGCATTGCAAACTTTATCACAGTTGATAAATGTCAGACAGCCAGTTGTCCTACCATTTTACCCTGCACCCTCCAACGAACCATGAGCCAGCCATTAATATGTCTTTTTCTGTTTTTAGCTTCCAGGGTCTCTAACTCCAATCGCTTCTTACGAACCAGAATTGCCTTTTCTTGTAGTAGTATTTGTTTTGAATTTTGATTTCTGTAATTACTTGTAAGATTTGTTTACATATACATCAATCAAATCGAAGGAGTAAGTGACGTTGGAAAGGAAGGTCGTTTCTCCTTAATTACTAATAATGGAGCCAGTAGGTTAGAGCCACTAGGATAGAGCCACGTATAATGAATAGGAGCCGTCTGTGTTGCAGTGAGCTCGGCGCCACTCGCCCATGCCCAGGTATATGTAGTAAACAAGTAATATACTAATGTGTGTTATTCCTTAAATGATTATTCCTTAAACGACAAATTATCGCCATAATATTAGCCCTGTCTCTCTCTTCGTTGTTTGTCCCCGTTTTATTTATTACTCCATTGTTCTCTACTCTCTGTATTTTCTTTCATTACTTCCTCCCTTGCTGTCTTTTTCAAACAGAAATTAAGTAACGCAAGAAGTAGTGGCAGCAGCCATCATCTGGCCGGGGGAGGTGGTCTTGATCAAGGAATACAAAGAGCTTCTTAATTTCTTGTTGTTTTAAATTAATTCTCTGCGCACAGGTGGTAATTAAGATTATATATATGGCCACAAGGGGATTGGTGCTTTATCTGTTATCAGGTTTCTCTGTGGCTATTCTTTCTGTGCTCTTCCTCTCCCATCCAAATGAGAAAGCCTCACCAAATATCATTCTTGTCACCTCCCCATATATATCCACCACAGAAAAAGTTTGGCCTGTAAGTCTATCTTTTATCAAGTAGCTTTATATATATACATATGAGTCAGTAGTAAAGGATTTTGATGGCTTGGGATCTTAATTGGTAATTGTGATGCAGGAATTGGAGCTTAATTGGAGAATAGCGTTAGCCACGGTGATAGGATTTCTAGGATCAGCATGTGGTACGGTTGGTGGAGTTGGAGGGGGTGGCATTTTCGTTCCCATGCTTACTTTGATTGTTGGATTTGATACCAAGTCTGCTGCTGCTATTTCTAAATGTATGTGTATATATATTTACATCCTCAATCACACTGTTCATATATATTCTTCCCTTTTTTCTCTTTTCGATATAAAAGCTTATTGCTCATCTTCTCAGTCAATCAATATTTCTGACTTTTGTTATATATATATAGCTTCTGTTTCTGACTTCTGTTATATATATATATATATATATAATTTCTGTTTCTGCCTTCAACTTCTGTTTCTGGCTTCTGTTATGTATATATATATATATATATTGAGAAAATCATGCTATGAATATTCGCCATGTTTATAGGTGAAATGAGATCCCAAAAGTTAGAGAGTTTTTATTTTTATTTTTTATGTAGTATAAATTTTGACTTGGGACCCTCTCTATCACTATGTTCTATAAGAATATATTTTGAATTAATTTAAATGTGCGACTTTATGTGGAAAAGACGAAGTAACTTATGAGTTACTTTTTTGTCTTTTATGTAGAAAAATTATTTGTGATTGGATTGTGGAATTGGGTGTAGGTATGATCATGGGAGCATCAGCATCATCTGTATGGTACAATCTAAGGGTGCCCCATCCAACAAAGGAAGTGCCTATCCTAGACTATGACTTGGCTCTTCTCTTCCAGCCCATGCTTTTGCTTGGCATCACCGTTGGTGTTGCCTTGAGCGTTGTTTTCCCTTACTGGCTAATTACTGTCCTCATTATCATACTCTTCGTAGGTACACTGTTGTTACCTTCTTTTTTCTTTTTTGTAGTTAATCAAACTTACTTTTATAAATTCTATGTATGTTGATACTGATTTCTTATCATTGTTTTGACTCATTTTTTATGGCCAGGGACCTCTTCCAGATCTTTCTTCAGGGGAATTGAAATGTGGAAGGAAGAGTCAATTTTGAAGGTAAATTTTCAGAATTTCATGGATCAAGACGTATAATTAGAGGCATTTCCTTTATTGTTATTAACTCATGTTGAAAATTTTTGCAGAAAGAATTGGCCAGGCAACAAGAAACTATAGTTAACTCCCGTGGCGAACGTAAGACTCTCACAGATTACACGTTTTTATCAGTCCGTAAAGTTTCCAAATCGTTTCATTTTATTGCCCGTTGAGTTTTGAACATTGGTTTCGTGTGAATTTTTTGGCATGCAGTTCTGATTGATACAGAGCATGAGCCACTGGTTCCTAAGGAAGAGAAATCCAAAATGGTAAGCAATTTCCACCTTCATATTATCTTACGCAATTACCACCCTCTAATGTAAAAGTCACTGAATCTACTTTGTCTTAATCTTGTAGCAAATACTCTGCTTCAACCTGAAGTGGAAAAGGCTTTTGGTGCTGCTACTTGTTTGGACTTCTTTCCTTCTTCTTCAAGTTATCAAGGCAAGTCTACTCTCTCCCACTCTCTGCCCCAAATATGGTCACATATTTAATGGTTTCCTGTTCTTATATAGCCATTGATTTTGCAGAATGATGTAGCTGTTTGCAGTACATGGTACTGGATCCTCTTCTGCCTGCAGGTATTTATAACAAGCAACAACATTGTTGTTTATAGATATTCTTTTGTGTTCTTTTGTTTCATCGTTGGTTGGTTATATTTATGATGGTCGTAATTGATAGGTTTTGTTCTTCTGCAGTTTCCTATAGCACTTGTGGTATTTGGATACGAGGCAGTCAAATTATACAAAGAACACAAGAAGAGGATTAGCACAGGAAACACAGAAACAATCTGTGAGGCTTCTATTGAATGGACTCCAATGCACATCTTATTCTGTGCACTCTGTGGCATCTTAGGAGGCACCGTCGGGGGCCTCCTTGGATCCGGTGGTGGATTCATTCTGGGACCTCTTCTCCTCGAGATCGGTGTCATCCCCCATGTATGATTAAATTTTTTTCTCTTCATGAAATATCTATTACTTGTTAGTGTTGACAGGCGAGTCATGCCTGATCTCTTTTTAAAGTTGCCCACCCACCCAAGACTTGTTGTTGAGCTTCATATAATCTTCCTTTTCTGTTAGAGAAAACCATTCTAGTGAACTAGTAGACTGTTTCAAAGTTACTTTCTGCACCTCTGCCTATGATCATGCTTCTTTCTTATGAAATTTGAGTACTGAAGGAAGAATTCTGATGTTGCATTTAACAGGTTGCCAGTGCAACAGCAACATTCGTTATGATGTTCTCGTCATCCTTGTCTGTGGTGGAGTTTTATCTGCTTAAGAGGTTTCCTATACCTTACGGTACCTAGCTATCATTCTTAATCATCTTTGTTCTTCAACTTTATCAGATAAGCAGATTGTTTTTGGTGCACCATCTAATAATTTACTGCGTATTTATAATGTGTTGTTGCAGCTTTGTATCTCATGGGAGTGTCTGTTTTGGCTGGCTTCTGGGGGCAGTTTTTAGTAAGAAAGCTCGTTACAATTCTAAGAAGAGCTTCCCTCATTGTATTCATCCTGTCTGGTGTCATATTTGCTAGTGCTCTCACAATGGGTAAGAACCGCAATTAATCACTCATTGTTTCTATAGCATCTTTTTTTTTGGTGTTTATAATTATAAGGCTGATAATTCATCAATAACACTGTTTCTTGAAATCTTTCGCAGGAGCTGTTGGTATTGAGAAGAGTATGACAATGATACGCAATCATGAGTTTATGGGATTCTTGGAGTTTTGCAGAAATCAGTGATTCTTGGCAATGCTGGTGTTGAGTGCTATAATGAATTTAGAATTTGATTTGGTCAGGAAAAAAAAATACAAATGGGATTGCCGGCCAACACCTAGTTGACCGGCCGGCCCATCCAGAAAATAAAAGGGTGCTTATATTTGTTGAGTGGTAGTCGGTATTTGAGTGTTAGCTACTGGCTAACACCATCTCATTCCTTATTTAAAATTATGTTATTTATGAGGTTTAGGTGTTGGCTAACTCCAAACCTCTCGTTACTTTCTGCAATAATGGTGATTGCTAGCATGTGTTCTTTTTACTATTTAAAGGTACCCTATTATTATTATTATTATTATATCGTTTTCTTTTAATTTAACTGAGTTCAACCGATTGATTAAGATCTTGAATTCAAGTACTGTTTTTAAGAAAAAAAAATTAATGCAAATTCATTATTGGTACGTGTTGCAAAAGCAGACTCACTTAGCTACCCACACTCTTCCTCCCAATGGAGGCATGGTATTCATAGATCAAAAGTGGTGCACAGCCGGGCTCTTTTCAAGAATTGAATGAATAGAAGATTTGAAAAACTTGATGACCAGTTGGGTTCGTGATAAGATTCAGGAGAGAACTAGTTTGATAGGAAATCCATATAAGGCCTTTAGTTTTATATTTTAATTAATACAGGCATGTGGTTGTATATACCATCAAACCAATATTGACCGGTGAGAAAAATATATCCAATTATATGCGAAAAAAAAAAGAAAAAAAAGGGGGGGAAAAGGTTCGGCCAAGCATTGCAATTTCCATGTTACCATGATCATGCCATGTTGCGGTATAAGAGAGAGGACAATAAAATGTTGGCAGTATTGAAATACAAGATAAGAACTCACTGAAAGGTTTGCGATAGTCGTTTATCTTCAGAGATGCGATACTACTGATGCACAACAAGTAATGTTACTGTCAATGAGATTTCCTCCTCTTGTTTCGTCATAACATACATCATGGGTTCGGCTTTTATTAATTAAATTGAACTAAATTTTTGTTTGAATTATTGTTTTTCAAGCATTCACGACCACCTCTTGTACCATGAAAGTTAAAAGTACACTCAGCAGATGTTTGTTTTTATCCTTTAAAGTTTTGTTCGGTCCTCAATCCACATGTGGGTAGTAGAATTTGCACTTGAAAAGAATCGGGCAAGGAACTTCTCTGTCCAGCACATCATGTGCCGTTCGTCTCTTCTGGCTAAGTTAATTTGCCGTGTTTCCATTTTGTACCAATCATTTGATAATCATTGATTTTGGTATCTGTATTTCGTTGAAATTTTTATTTATATACTTTGATTTTTTTTTTTTAATTTGAGTTTATGTGCTTTTTTAAAAAAAAATAATAAATAGATTATATTTGTTTTAAAAGTACCGGCCATCTTAAGAGTATACAGACCACTACAGTGTCAAAAATATCTTCTACTAGGGGACCAACAATAACTCAAAAGATAAATTGAAGACAGTCATCTACATTGCTCAAATCTCTACCGTTCTTCTAGATACGAGCCATGCTAGATTGCTTTTTTTTTTTTTTTTTCCTTTTAATCAATGACCATGTCTGCTTGCCGAGAAATCTGAAATTAAATGATTGTGTTGATGGTGACTGTCCATCGTAACAATTAACATTTCTTTTCTTTAAAAAATAATAATAATAATAATTAGCATTCCTGCAAGAAATTATTGATGGCAGAAATAAACTTTTTTTTTTTTTATGATTAATGACAAGGAAAAACTTTACTATTGGGAACTTGAATTATTCTTGCTACAATGAGTCCATATTTTATTTCTATGCTCTCGTATATTTTCTTAATGTGGTTTTTTTTTCTTTTATTCTAGATATTTTTTTTCAGTGTGACATTTCTAATGAGATACTAATGATGATTGGTTAGGAAATATTCTGTTAAAATATTTATTCTTGTTAGCTGGAATAATTATCCTTAATAGCTAGAATATTTATTTTTAATGTCTCCAGATATACATAGAAACTAATCTGATTCTCTCTCTCTATATATATATATGGAAGCTAAATGATGGGAATATTGTTGATCCCAATACCTAGGGATTGTGATTAACATAATCTGTATATTGTTTGTGTAATACAAGATACATGGTGAATATTATTTTACGTATTCATGATATCAAAGCATGGTTTTTTTTTTTTTGTTTTCCCTCATGGCAACTGTTTTAGCAAGTGGCAACGCAGAGGATTTGATGTCTATACATAGCAAATACGCAAACTATCGCAATTGATTCTATTTGCATTTCTATGATCATCCAGATTTGTTTTCTGTTGCACAACCTTTTAGTGAAAGTGATGAAAATTATTTGGCCAATGAAAATTATTTCACTTGGCCAAATAATTTTCTCGATGCCCTCTAATTCAAAAATAAAACAAGTTTTGTTGATGAATCAATACCCAAATTCGATGTCGATTTCGAGGATTTCCATGTTTGGATTCAATACAATGCACTTGTTAAATTGTGGCTTTTTAACTCGATTTCCAAAGAGTTACAATCAGGAGCGATCCATTTCGTTACTTCATGTGAGATTTGGATTGTTTTGAAGAGTGATTTACTTAGAGAATTGCACCCGAGTATATGAGTTAAAGCGCATAATTGTATGCCCTGTTACAACAAGAAAACTCAACTTTTTCCACATATTATGGAAAATTAAAGAATGTGTGGAATGAGTTACCAAATCTTCTACCCATTCTTGTTTGTACATGCAGAGCTGTAAGAAAAAATAAAAGAGATGCATGAGGAGAAAAAAGTGTGTGATTTTTTAATAGGTTGAGATGATATTTACATGATTGTTCGATCTCAAATATTAGGCGTTGAATCTTTACTAGGACTTGGTAAAGCGTATATGGTGGCCGCTCAAGATGAGAAACGAAGAGTTACTGCAGCAACCCGAACTCCCATTCTTGAAGCCACGATTTTGCTGGCAAAATCAGTATTGGGCCGTGAGCAAAGCGGAGAGCAATGTGACTCACTTCGAATTGAATACTGCTTACCGGTATTTCTGTTCCAATCTATTTCGATTTATTCGGACTGAATACTGCTTGCCCCTTTGTAGGAGTAGGAATGAAAGCAATAGCATGGGCTTTGCCATTCACGATATTAGCTGGCAGTAGCAAGGGGTGGTTTTGCTGCTTGTTTCATTCAAGTGGATAAAAAAGGGGATGGAGCTCATCGCTCTTTCTTTGTTTCTGACCCATTTATCCTCCTCACAATTCCTTAAGGAATGTAAAACAACATGATTATGTATTACGACAATAACATCACTTCGCACATGATTACAGTTGTAGCATGAAAGGCTCATTTGCCTCCCAATTGCTTCACTTCGTTCACACCAGAGTCATGGTCCCCAAATTGCCGTGCTCAAATGAAGATTTTCATAAACAAATCAAGATCTGATCTCAACTGTATTTTAATTTTTTAATATAATTTTCGTATGATACAAGACTTACTCTTGAGGAAGCTGATTAGATTGGATATAGTGCAGAATGATCTATACTATTTGGAACAAACGGTGGAATTACTTATGGCAAACAATTTATGGCATCGATGTTCGGGACACATACCGATGAATCGAGTTTCACTTGTTCTAGATTTATCGGTATTGATTGACTTATCAAAAAAAATTTTGTGATGCTTGTTTTCGAGCCAAGCAAACTCACTTACCTTTTTCAACTAGCTTAAATAAATTCAAGAGTAATTTTGATTTACTATATTGTAACATTTGGAGTTCATATCACGCTTCATCTTATTTTGGATCTTACTAGTTTCTCATAATGATTGATAAACACAGTGATGTCATATGAGTTTTTCTCATGAAACACAAATATGAGACCAAACGCTATCTTTTATTATTTTTCAATTGGATGCAAACATAATTTAATGCAAAGGTCAAAAATTTTTGTACCGGCAATAGTCTTGATTTTAATCACTTGTATCTTATGGATTATTATTTTGAGCATGAAAATACCAGACATACAAATTACATATATACATCTCAACAAAATAGTGTGATTGAACCAAAATATAGACATTTTTTGAAAGTGGTTAGAACTTTATATTTTTAAGTCAACCTATCAATTAATTTTTAAGATGAATGAATTCTAACGATCGCTTATTTAGCCAACCACCATGCCACTTATCCTTTTGTAGAACAAAACACCTTACGAAGTTTTATGTGGCAAGCTATCCAGTTATAATCATCTTTGAGGTTCTAGATATCTTTGTGAGGGACAAATAAATAGTATGCCCTATGACAAGTTTGCCTCCCGAAGCAAACCATGCATTTTTATGGGATATCCACATTGGCAAAAGGGCTTCCGAATCTATTATTTAGACAGTTGTATTATCTATTCTTCTCACGATGTCCAATTTAAAACTTTTTAAAGTCATTTTCCCCTTTTTCTCCACAATAATTCAAGTTATTGATTCACAAAGAGAAGTATTGGACTTGCATTTGTCCAATCCAACTAGCCCACTTACTGAAATTCCCAAAATTGATTCACTAAGAGAAGGCCTGGACTTGCATTTTCCCAATCTGTCCACACCACCTGCTGAAACTCGCTCTGTAGCTCCTCCTCTCATTCGGCCCAATACTCTTCCCTCGAGTGACCAGACTGCGCCACATCCCAGTCACACCCAGCCCGTTACTTCTGCTTCCATAAGCAATAGGCTGCCATCCACCCAGCTCGATCCAGTCACATCTTCCGCTCAACCCATTACTGCAAACATTGCGCCTTAGGCAGCTCCTCATGGATCGTCTTCTCTAGTACAACCTACTATTATTGATTCCATTGGTAGTGGTCGAGAAGTATTGTGCTATGTTCAGGCTCATTGTTTCGTGTTAAGTTTCATCTTGAAAAGACACTTTTTGAGACTAGGTGAGGCACTTGAAGTCTATAAACTGTTTAAACCCTCGACTCCTAGTCAACAAGGGATATTAATTTTATCAATGTTTATTGACGGTAGAAGTGATGGGATGGTAGCAACAATGAAGATGGTAATGGCAATGGGCCAATGGCAATGGCAGTGGTGTGGTGGAGGAGAGGTGATGATCCTTATGGTTAAATGATAATGGTAGTAGTTATATTTGATTAACAGAACAATTTAACAATACATGTTAAAGATGGCTTGTGTGTGTATTTAAAAAATAAAAAAAATTAATAGAAAACCCATTACGAATATATATATATATAAAGAACATAAGATCTTATTAGAACAATTGAGAGTGAAAAAAAAAAAAAAAAGTTAGATCTTATCTTTACACCAGCATATGTATTAATTTTTTAATATCTTAGTCTTTTGGAACGTTCTTTTTGTATGTGTATTATCTAACTAATTTGTATGATTTTTCTTTAATTTCTAATAGATAGTTTAAAATTATTTATATATGGATAAATTTAAATACTTACTAAATAAATATGATTGATTTTAAATAATTTTATATTAATTTTTATTATAATAAGTAAATTAATTTGTTTAATCATATATTTTAACTGGACTTAAGTAAAAATTAGAGACATAAATTAAATTATCTTTCAAAATAATTAATAATTAATGGTTAGAACTTAGAAAAAAATGTATAACTCCTAGAAGCAGTCATTACTAAAAAAAAAAGTTTACTTAACATTATTTTATAACGAACCTTTTTCTATTATTTAAAAAATTTCTTTTAAATTATAAGTGTCATGAATATAAATTAATTATAAGTGACATGAATATAAATTAGAAATACATACATGAATAAAAAAATTTGTATATCGTTTTTTTCAATGAATTTTGCATTTTTTATTATTATCATTGTTTGTTAGAAGAGTGAAAAAAGCTTAAGGCAAAAACCAAAAAAAAAAAAACCTATAAAAAATTAACTAAAGATTCAATTTAATAATTTGATGAATTTTTATGTAATTTAATTATTTCAAATTTTAATACTTCATTTTTTATTTTTTTTTGTGGGCTTGCTTTGAAGTTTTTTTTTTTTTTAAGAGTTTTGATAGTCAAGAAATAAAATAATAATATAGTACTATATAGTTTATGAGTGATTCAAGTAGCTAGTTTTATGTTATTTAGAGTTTTAAGTGGTGTGAAAATATAAAAATAATCAAAAAGAAGGATAATCTATATTTTAGGATTCATTCTGAAAAAAATAGCCAATCTTTTAGTGAATTAATATATTTTCTAATAATGTTATCAATATTGGTATTTTTCTTAATTAGAGATGGGATGAATTTACTTAGTATTGATAGTTTATCATAATGTTTGTATTATATATATATATATATATATATATATATATATATATATATATATATATATATTTTTTTTTTTTTTTTTTTTTTTTTTTGAAATAGTTGGTGCTCTTAGTTGTGGATTATGGATAAAAAGGAAGTTAAATTAGTTAAATTTAACATAAATTAAGATGCGATTAAGTAAAAGAAAATCACCGACCATGTGCAAAATCAATACGAGTAAAACTCCCATTTCCGAATAAAGCACATACACTCAATCTCTTTGTATATATATATAATCCCAAAAGACAAAAATAAAGAAAAACAAAACCTTCTCCATATATCCAAATCTTTAATTCTCTGGCAGAACCGTAATCAATCACTTAATCTCTCCAGCTATTTGATAGTGCTGAGAGAACAGTGGAGAGTATCAATAGTGTGGCACCAGGGCTGCTTTTCTTTTTAGTACTGTATTTTATGTTCTTTTGTAAACTCAGTTAAAAAATATTCCAATTTAATTAAAATCGAACTCGACCACCACCGCCAAATATTATAGTAATCAACGAACTTCTTGCTTGTGGGCGTCAATAAATAGTGGACAACGAAGGAGTCGAATGCAATGAGTTGGCGGTGGGCATCGCGGACCTGCAACTGTCATGATTTTGATGTTGTCGAATGTGTAATATTTATGTACCGATGGCTTTGCAACTCTTTTTATGATTTTTATTTCCTTGTGAAGGATATCTAGCTAATTGGTCCGTCCTTCTTTCGATCAATGCTCTCCACGTCATTACGAGGCTTCATCATCATACGAATTATGGGCCTTTTCCTTCTATTAGTACGTGAAAAACCTAGAGCTACACCGCGTATATGAAGCCATTTCAAATCCTAACGAAAGTGGAACATCGATATTTTAGCCATATGGAAATACATGAAGCATATAAAGAAATTATGAACGGCACACGAAGTTTGTTTTGAATGACAAGTAAAACGCTCAAGTCTCTTCGCTCAAAAAATGTGTAGGATTTAAGTAATGTATTGATAGTTTTGGCATCGAATATGTCATCCGTCCAGTACATGAATCAGATAAATGAACAATATCACATGGAGGAGTTCGAATGAAGGCAATAGTTGGCCTATGGTATTCAGTGGTAGAAGGCATATAAACTCCACGGGTTGTGCTCAAAATAGGTTTCTCTAGTCTTCTTGAGATGTTTTCTTTTCAACCCAATGCTCCATCCAGTCCCATAACCACATTCCAATGCCCATCAAGATAGGAAAATGGAAGCGAAACCATCACAGGAAGTAATTATGCCTTCGCAAGATTGCCAGCTGCAATTGCGGACAACTCCATAGATAAGGTTGGGAGGGACCAAGTTGCTATTTGCATATGCCGGATTGTTACCTAGATGAACTACTTGTAGCTGCTTGGGATAATTTTACACTACTGGATGTAGGATCTTTAACTCCTTCAGATTCTACATTGATAGCTATATTCCCCAGTCCAATCTCCATTGCCTCCCTCTCATCTTTCTCCCTCTTCTTCTTCTCTGAATTTAGACTATCCAAAGCTTGGTTTTGACTAGACGGTAGAGACGGCTCTAAGACATTAGGGCCTGCATTAATCCATGGATGAAGAAGACACCGAGCTGCAGTCGGCCGTTTATCAGGGACAAAATCAAGGATAGGAATCAAGAATTCTGTCATTTCATTTGCATCTTGCTCACTAAATTCATACTTCTCCACGAGAACCTTATTCAAGGGCCAGAAACGCAACCTTCGAATGTGCCTCAGATCACCATATCTATTAAAGAAGTCCCGGGAATAGCGACCACCTAAGGCAATCTGGGAACAGTTAAGATATATTGAAGTTAGATGTGACAGCCTTATGACAAAAACTTATCAAACAGTGGCAATGCAAATATTTCACCTTGCGCGGCATCATTCCAAGAAGCTCCATCATCAATGCTAAATGGTCCTGAAACAGATTGAGAAAAGGCTATAAATTTAATGATCAAATATGCCTGATTTGAATCAAGGAAGACAAATTATAGCTCATTTAGCGGATACAAAATCCATTCAACACCACAAAATTGTGATATCTTTCCAGTTCCACATGCTCAGCGCAGAGATAGATATCCTTCCATGTTCAGAACACATGGGAAGAAGTTTAACTCTAAAGCACAAAGCAACTGAAGATTCATCCAAAAAGACACCATTTTTCTAATAGGGTGCATGCAGTGACCACTAGAAAGAAAGAAAAGTGATTGACCAAAAGTCACTTTGATCAACTCTCCCATAATGAATTGCACCATACATTTAAAAGTAATGGATGTAAAAGGAGGGTGGTCATTACCCAACAGAGGATATGTTGTTAAGGGGGAATCTTATATATATATATATATATATCGGGGGATGTTTCTTCTGTGTTTTTCCCCCCTTCAAAACTTATATAACAGTCTATTTTGGACTTGTACCTTGTCGTTACAGTCCAGTAAAAATATATACAGTATTTTTTAATTGTTGAAACTACTGAAAATTTGATTCAACTCTTGGTACCTAATACGTCTTTTAAATTCATACCAAACATCCTTAAAACTTGACTTCTTCACCCTAATTATTATAAGAAACTAAAAGATATGGAGTTTTTGAACAATGTTTACTGTTCACAAACCATTCATTAGCCTAGAATCACCATTCACTATGTGGCAATTTCAGTAATTTTTTCCTATGGTTTTTTTGTGACTTTTTTAGTGTTTTTGGACATTCATATGCAAATTTAACACTTTTTTTTATTTTCGTTCCTCATGTTTTCATAAAACATTTTTAATCCCTCATGTTTTCAAAAAATATTTATGGTCCTTGGATGGAGAGAAGAGAGACAAACAAAGAGAGAGAAAGGTCCGATCAAGCTAGATTCCAACAGTTTTTTCACCAATTTCACACTCAGATTGCTGGTCTTCGTGAGGTGAGTGCATTTATGGTCTTTTCAAGGCATAAAATAGTTAGATAAGTAGATCAGAACGCAATACAAATTTAACTTTCTGATTTAATTTATAATTTTTTATAATGTGTACTGAAATAGTTTTTAAGGTTTCAAGCTAGTTTATTGACCTTATAGAGTTATTTTGAGGTATTTTAAAGCAAAAATGATGCTGGAAAAGGGTTTTGAAACCTTGAAAATGGAATCTTGATTTTCTAGTGACAATTCCAACAATTTTCAATTCGCCAGAAATTGAATTTTTTTTTTTTAAAGGGCCACTTGGGCCTACTTTTGCAGACCCAGGGGAGCAGGCTTGCGAGTAGGGTTTGCTTCTTCTTTTTTAAGCAATTTAAATCTTTTTTTTTTAATTATTATTGAATTGGGTGTAAAAAAATATGAAAAAATAATTGTTATTTTTTCGAATTTTCACACAAACTAACAATTATGAAATATTTACTATATTTTTTTGAATTTTAAAATTAATATATATTAGATAATATTATTTTTATTGTCTATAATTGACATCTTCAATTTACCAATTCTTATTAAAATTATCTTAAAATTATTTTTTTATTTTTTATGTAATTTTTTTGTTAATAAATATGAATTATTTTTCTCTATGTATGGATTTTTGAATTAGTTTTTTGTTTTAAATAATAAAATTCACATGTTTTATTTTTTTATTCATTAAATAATTAATTTTATCAGAATCAATTTTATAGTTGTTTTTATTACACTTTATTAACTTTAATATATTCCTTATAAATATTTTTTAAAAAATATTTTTTTGATTTATAATGTACATTCTCATCAAGTATGATCATGATGTATAAAAAAAATTAAAATCATTGATGTTTATTGAAAATTGTCTATATGCACACATAACACCAATAATTTGTGTTTAATTTTTTTAATATTCTAAAATTAATTTTTCTAATAAATTAATTAAAATAATGTTTTAGAAAAATTGTATAATAATTCAAATGCAACTTTTTATACTACATTATTTATTATTATTATTATTATTATTATATATCAAATGTACATACTTCTAAAAAGCTAAAAAATATTCATTTGTTAATTTTTATATAAGTTTAGATATTGATTGTTTTTTTTTATTTGATTCCGTCTTATAAAAAAAATATTGAGACATTTTTAAAAATTTCATATTAAATTTTCAATTATATTATTATAAGTTTTTATTTAAAAATTAATGCATAACGAAAAACAAATTGTGTTTCTTAACAACAAAAAATATAAAAAACATAAAAATAAAATATAAAATTTTGATTAAAAAATTAAAAAATTAGAAGTATTTTTTTCCTTCAATTTAATATATTTTAGTGGATTAGCAACATAGTGCAAACCATAAAACTAAAATATTTTTTTAAATTAATTTTACCTATTTTGCTTGACTTGCAACCTAACGCGAGCAACCAACTAATAAATACTATAACTATTTGGCTAGCTCTATGTCTTTGTGTAATAGGCCAAGTCTTCAATTTGTCTCTACGTTTTTAATTGGATATTATCCAATTAGTTTTTTTTTTTACCACTTTTTCCAATCTTAAGCTCATGTGTAAGTCACATCACCAAAATTTATTTTTGAAATGCCCTAGACTGAAATGCCAAAAAAAAAAAAAAAAAAAGAGAAGAAGCAAATCTCTAATATGCTCTCTACATTTTTAATTGTGTTTATTATGTTCTTATCTAATATTTAATTCTTTAATATGTTCTTCAATCAAGTTTTTTCATTCAAATTGACAAAATTATATTATCCTTGAGTTATAAAAGGATATAATAGAAAATTTTCTCAAAACTGCTCAAAATGTTTTAAGAAGTAAGAAAAAAAAATTAAAATATCTGTTTGTATAGCTCAAGGACAATTTTAAATGAAAATATAATTTTGTCAATTTAGATAGAAAAACTTTGACTAAAATACATATTAGATAATTAGTTATCATACAAATACATGATAGACACAATTAAAAATGTAGCATACTAGAGACTTGTCTTCTTCTTTCTCTTCATTTCAATCAAAGACATTTCAAAAAAAAAAAAATTGATCATGTGACCTGTATGCAAGCTTTTGATTGAAAAAGGTGGTCAGAAAAACTAATGGGACAATTAGACAATATTCAAAGACATAATAAATCCAATTAAAAATGTATGGACATATTGAAGACTCGGTATATTATATAAAAACATATTGAGTCATTTACCCTAATAGTTTATCTTTATTATTTTTCAATCTTTATAGCAAACATAACTAAAGTAAGAGGCTTAATCACAGCCAAAAAAAATAATATAAAGAAGAAAGTATAGAATCCAAGACTTGAAACTATATTCAGCAATGGAAAATCATATATAAAAGAAAAAAAAATGTACAGAGCAAGATAAACCAAAGCCAGTTGGTAATGCAATTGATTTCAAAATGGGGCTAAATACCTAATCCTTAAAAAGTAAGAACGATGTGAGATGTAAAGGAAATCAAACAAATTTTGGGAGTGCAAGCAAGATATGAGTACTTGGTAAGGGTGCAAAGAATTAAGTATTACAACCATAAGCACCTTAAAACAATTGAACACCGAAGTTTACATTTGCTTGGACAAACAAATGAAAACAGATTGAGCCATTTCTCCCTTGTTTTATTTTAGTTTGGGTCAGGTTAGAAATTAAGGGGCAGCTATTATTTACTTTGTTTTTTAAAATGAATTCTACTAGGGTTTTGGTGCCTGTTAAGAACACCTTCTCTATGTTTTATGCAGAATTATTGAGAATTAAATTATTGTCATTCTCTTTCTCTGTTTATCCCTCACCTATGAGGACTTCTTTCGTCTGTTTTAATTCCTCTTCTATAAGAAATTCTTTGATCTTCTATCTCTATTCCTTTCTGTCTTACATCAATACTCCTAAAGACCAAGCATTTCTAACTGTTGTTTCCAGCACATTCTATTTCTCTCTACCAATCTTCAATGGTGGTCCCACCTCAAAGTGGCCCTTATAGTTTTTCAGTTAAATACTTTCACTGCTAGAAGATGTCTCTCAGCAGCATTAGCTAAGTACTGTGATAAGAGTCAATTCTAGCAATCAACCAAATAAATGTTGATGATGCCACAGGTAGACTGAGAATAACTATGTCGAAAACTAAATCAACGTGGAAATGCCCACAAAAGAGCAACTGAACCTATTTATCCAATTCCCAGGAGGTAACTAAAATTACTTAAACTCTATACAATCTTCATGTTTAGAATGCAGAGCATAGAGAAATGATGACAAATTTCAAAGATGATACAAAGAGCCCACATCCCTAGAAGTTGAAAAAAAAATCATAAATTTATATGATTTATGAACCAGTAATGACAAAATCATGTGTTTGCGTAGTTTTTTTTATACATGCGTTAATCAGGTACCATGTCACTCCAGTAGGACAATGTTAGATTACATGTAACCAGGCTTAAGATAGGGTGAGGTCAAAGGCTAAAATCAAAATCTCTATTCTCGGCCACCAAAAGATTACTACAGAATCGTTGTTTCTTCCCAATGAAAGCATGGTTTGCAATTATATTGACCTAGGATCTCTCATTAACACTCATCCTTGCATGTACTTGCTGAACCCTTTCTTCTTCTTCTTCCTTTTTTTTTTTTTTTTTTTTGCCCCTCATCAACATCCCAATAGATCATATTGGGATTAAGAAATCTTTTGATAAAGTTAAAAAACCTGCTGGGCCAGAATATACAGCAAAGATCCTATATCCAGGATTTTGACAATCGTGTTCCTAAAAAAAGCATCAGTTACAGCATGCATTTGAATATTGCACACGTTGTTGAATTTCCTAATTATGTTGTTCTGAAATATAATGTGTTGTATGTAATATAATCAGTATTCAATTCAAAGATGTTAGCAAACTTGAAAATGAGCATGGTGCACATGAGCACATGTGTGCGTTAAGTTAGGGGCAGTGCAGAGAAGCAACAGTTAATACTCTTATAAGCAGTACAAGAAAGATCGTGAAAGAATGATTATAATTCTGAAAGAAATCCTTACCTCATCCCTGTCAAAGTTGTCACCACTGTGGGGGTCAAAAAGCACATCACCAGTTGCCAGCTCAAAACAAATGCAAGCAAAGGACCACATATCCGCAGATGTAGAATATTTGGATCCAAGGATCACCTCTGGACACCGATATTGTCTAGTTTGAATGTCATTTGTAAACTGTTTGTATGTCCAGCATGCATTCCCAAAGTCCACCAACTTGCACTTCAGATCAGCTGAGGCCAACAGCTGCTGCCTGGTGGAGCGGCTCCCCCTTTTAGCTCCCTGATTTCCCATTCCAGTGCCCTTCGTTCCATCAACATCGGATAATCTATTTGGATTCTCTGACCTAGTAGGCTGCTCTTCAGTAGAACCCACATTTAGTTTTGCATTACCCAACAACTCTTCTGCAGCAGATGTTTCAGGATCTGCATCTGCTTCAGCAGAAAATTCCTTCTCCACACACCCCTGAGCTGCTCGCTTAGCCTTTCTTCGAACCTTTTTCTTCTGATTCCTAGACAAGTCTCCATTTAATCTTGCAATCGCAGACTCCAATGCAGACTTATCCTTACTATTTGGAAGAATAAGAGGAACACCAGATTTTCTTGGATCCTTAGATGGGTCAATCATTGATAATAGCAATATATTCTCTGGCTTTAGATCAGTGTGTATAATAGAAAGCTGTCTGTGTAAGTAATCCAAACCCACCAAGACATTGAAACATATCTCCTTGACCTTATGAATGGGCAGTCCCCGGTAATCAGAATACTTGATAAGGGTCAACAGGTTATCCCCTAGGTACTCGAAAACCATGCAAACATGCTGTCCATTCGGACCCGAATGCTTAAAATGATCCAAAAGCTTTACAACACATTTTTTATCATCAGGGTCTCCTTCTGCAATCTGCTGCAAGATGGTTATCTCATCCATGGCTGCTTCGGTATAGTGCTGAGCACTTTTTTGTACCTTGAGAGCCACATATCGCTGCAATTTTTATGGCCAAGTAAAAAATTCATTAGTGACCTGATAAAAAAAAATTCACAAAAGATCCACTACAGCTCAAAGGGGTAATCAAAATATTAAACCACTCCAAATGTTCAGGCAGTTTTTGCAAATGACAACAAAACAAAATGGTAAGAAATTATTCTTGTAGCTGACTATTTTTTTCCTAATGAATTCATGTAGCTGACTAATCCCAACTACTTTAAACAAAAACCATCAATTCAAGTCGTTAGGTTGAATTAAGAGCCAAAAATGATCCATGGAGTCTGTTGTTAACTAAAATTAATGCCAGCATATCCATTAAACACACTCAACATAAATCAGATCAATAAATAAATGCAATCATCAATAAATTTCTAGCACTAAACAGCTGATAAAGGTAAAGAAGGAAGTACGGAAATTTGAGTGTCCCAAGCGAGCCAGACGGTGGAGAAATGACCCCAACCAAGCTTACTCTGAACGACATATCGTCCGTTCTTGAAACTGTCGCCGATTCGAACAGCATGGTAGCCCCCGCGCCTGTAATCTTCGGTCCCTTCGTCTTCCGACGTGTAGTCTCCGCTATCACCACTGCTGCTCCGATCCTCCTCTTCTACTTTCACTTGCTGCTGCTTCTGCCGCTTCTCATCCATTTTAGATTACAGCTTGCAGAACAGAATGGTAAAGAAATGGATCTGTCTTTTTCTTTTTACTTGTTTGGGTCTTGCTCTCTTTTCAACTTTTGTTTCTAATTTTTTTTTTTTTTTCCTTCTCTTCTCCGTTGAGTTCAAAACAGGTTCGGGTTAGGGTTCAGGTTTTCGGGTTAGGGTTCAGGTTTTCGGGTTTGGGCTCAACGATGATTTGGTTGTGTGGTGAGAGTGAGGTGTCATCGTCGTCATCATTAATGTGGAAATGATGATGAGTCAGCTTTAAACATTTCATATTCACATATGATTTCTTCTCTCTTTTCTTTTACTTGTTTGTTAATTCAACCAGAATCTGTGTAAGTTTTTCTCTCAAGATATGGATTTTTTATTTTATTTTTTCAAAAATGAAGTACTTTTTTCCTTAATTCCCTATATATTAAAGCCCTTTTTGCACACAAGACTGTAATTATTCATATCTTTTATTTTTTCATTTAAAAAGATATTTATGAAAATACATAAATGATAAAAGATAAGAATATTCCAACTTTTTTTCAAAATTTTTGCTGATTAAAAATAAGATAATGATTTCCCACACATATAAGCTACGTTCAACCTCATTTTCTGTTTCTTTTTCCTTTAATATGATTTGTTGACTTTGATAATTTCTTCCTCTTTATTTTTTTCATTCTAATCCTCGCACATATTCTCTCTTAAATTAAATATTACAATGACTTGTTTTGGTTACTGATCAATGTTTATAATTTGATGGTAAAAACTCTTAATTAAATTATAAAAAGTAGGGGGTGTTTAAGAGATTCTGTTGTCATTAAAGGAGTAACGTAAAGAGAAGAGAAGAACAAAAAAAAAAAAAATTAAATAAGAAGGAAAAAAAACTTAGAATAAAAAAAAGAGTTAGTGTTAACATACTAGAGAGTAAGGAGTGCATTGTTGGGTGCCCAAAGGTACATGAAAATTGTTATAGCATAGAGTTAAAAAGATTACCATATGGATAATAAAAGTTCTTCATGCTTTCGTGTTTTTTTTTTAACATATAGCTAGTTTTTTAATACATGCTTCGCACATGTATTATTTAATAAATTTATGTTATATTTTATTTTTTAATAGATTGTTTAGAATTACTTATAAATGAATAAATTAAAATACTTATTAAATATAAACATGGTTTAATTTCAAATAATTTTATATAAATTTTAATAATTAGAATTAAATTAATTAGGGACATAATCTTTCAAAATTTAATAGTTAAGATAAACATATATAACTCTTAAAAATAATAATTATTAAAAAAAGTTCCACTTACTACTTATTATTATAAACCTTTCTTTTTAATTGTATATGACATGAATATTTCTTTAAAAATAACATGTGACGTGAATATAAATTAACAATAAATACGTGAATACAAATTTTATAAATTATTTTATAGATAAACCTTGATGTTTTTTTTAATATTATTAGTGTTTGTAAAAAGGTAAAAAAATAATAATAATAATATAAGACAATAACAAAAAATTACCTATAAAAAAATAATTGATGATTTAAATACTAAATTGATGAATTTTGATGCAATTTAAGTACTTTTGGGTTTTAAAACTTCATATTTCGTATTGGCATGTTTTGAAGATGTTTTAGAGTTTTAATAGTCAAAATAAAGTATCAACGTGGTACTATATAGTTTAGAAGTAATTTAAACAGCTTGTTTTATGTTATTTAGGATTTATGTAATGTATAAATAAGAAAATAATGAAAAATGGATTAACCTATATTTTAGCATTCACTTTAGAAAACAACCTATTACGTAGGAATTAATAATTTTTTTTTTAAGGATTTTAACAGTATTGATATTTTTAAAAATTATAGATGGAATTGAATTTACTTATTAGTATTGATATTATATTATAATATTAGTGTTGTGTTAAAAGTATAATAGTCAATCAAATCTTTTTAAAGAGTTTGTATATGGGTGTGTTTTTAGTTATATAACAACTTAGCTCTCATGGTTTTTAGAAATCATAACCTACTCCCTGAACACCTATGACAATTAATTATTTAAAAGCTCGGTTGGTTTTTAAAAAAATATAAGAAAACTACCCTTAGGTTTCTTTTAATTAGTAGGATAAATAGCTCAATCTATTATATAATACAAGTCTCTAATACATAGTTATATTTTTAAAAGTGTCGATCATTTGTTTTTAGTGACATAATAACTTAACTCTCATGATTTTAACTCTGTACTATGTTGCGGGTCGGGCAACATATGTGAAATAATTTTAAAAAATCATTATAGTTTAATGATCCAGTATTATACTATGTGTCTGTCAATATACATTAATTAAAGATAAAAAATCATTCAATGTTATGATTTTTTAATCAAAATTTTATATTTCACTAATTTTTCTCATGTTTTTCATAATTTTCATACCAAAAAAAGTAATTTGTTCTTTTTTATCCATGAATTCTTTATTAAAAAATTTGTAATAATTTTAAAAGAAAATTTAATGTGAAATATTAAAAAAAATAACATTGTTTTTATAAGATTGTGTCATCAAAACAAAGTAACAATTGATATAAAAACTTACATAAAAATAAACAAATAAAAAAATAATTTTGATTCTTATTTAATGTTGATGAGAAGAATAGATTTTGATATATTTATTCATAAAATTATCAACGATATTATAATAAAAAATTATACTTGAATAATTTGTTGGTTCTGCAAAACATAATTTTAATTATCTAATTTGAAAAAAAAATATCTCCATAATATCAATCAATAAAAAAATAGTAAAGATTTGTGTTTTGTGTTGCTTGAATAGTTAATTTCTAATAAATCTAAGAATTTAATATATTTTTATATATATATTAACTACAATGAGTAGATTCTGTATCTTGCAACATAAAACAAAAAAACATGTAACTTGTAAGTAGTTTATTAAATAAATTTAAAGTTAGTACTGAGTGGACTTTGTATTTTGCAATATAAACAAAAAAAATAAAAAAAAAACAATTAACTTTTAAATAGTTTATTGAATAAATTTAAAGTTAGTAGAATAAAATAAAAATATTAAAAATTTCATTTCGATACATTTTGATCGTATAAATAAAATAACAAATAAAACAAATGAATTTCTTTTTGTTTCTTCTTTTATATATATATATATATATATATATATATATGGTTATACATGACCAGATCCTCATGCACAAGCCTCATATGCGAGCTATGGCTCAAAAATTTTAGGAATCCATCATATAAATTATATCATTTATATTAAAAAAAAAATAATCATGTTCTAAAATTTTATTTCAAAATCCATAAATAGATAAAAAAAATATATTTATTTGTAAATAAAATTTAATAAAAATTTAATTTGATGATATTTTACACACAAAAAATGACAATTTGAATGAATAAGTTTTAAACAATAAGAGTAGTATAATATAAAATATATGTTTATTTTGGAAAATAAAAACATATCATATATATTTTTTCATCTTTAGTTTGTTTGAGAAATATAAAAAAAACGATCGATCGTCCATAATTTTTTCCTAATAATTCATAATAATAAAAACAAATCAATAAAAAAATTCATAAGTACCAAGAGTGAAAAAAAAAAAAACCATAGGACCAAACAAAATGTGGGGCCAACTGCCAACATTTAATGCTCCAATAAAAAGAAAATGCTAATGACAAAAAAAAAAAATGCACAAAAGTGAGAGAGTGGAAGAAAAACAAATTAGGGCACAACAGTAAATCACTAACCACTCAATGGCATTAAATAAATTGAAGGAAAAATAGAAGGGTCATAAATAGAGAAAGCTAGATAGCAGACACGGTAGAGATATTAATTTATTTGGCAAAAAAAAAAAAAAGACAAACAAAAAGACATCCAATGGCAAAAAAAGGATAGTAGAAGGCAATCAATGGTTTCAAAAAAAAAAACATCCACAGTGATTATGAATCACAATGGACAATCTATCAATAGTGATTTTCACTGTTAAAAATACCCCACCTCTTTTAATTTATTAGTAATAACCTAATATCTTGACCATCCATGGCAATTAATTATTTAAAAGCTTCGTTAGTTTTTTTTTTCAAAAAATACCCCTAGGTTTCTTTTAACTAGTAGGATAGATAGCTTAATATATTATATAACTAGGCAAGTCTTTAATATATAGTTATATTTTTAAAAACATATAGTATATAATTCTTCAATATATCATTCACTCAAGTTTTTTCATCTAAATTGACTAAATTATATATTTTCATGTTGTAGTTGCTATTGAACTGTATAGAGATTTAATATAATTTTTATAAGCAAATTACATCATTGTTTTCACTTCATATAGATGCGAAAGGATTGGATGGAAGAAAATAAATCAAATTTATTTATTTTTTCACTTTCAATATTTACACTATAATGAACGTATTAATTTTTAAAATGGTAATTTGGGTCGAAAAGCCTTAGTTTAATTTTCATAAAATTACAAGTACAATCCTTACACTTCAAATTAGGATTAACTATGTTCATATATAGCAACAAAAAGCTCATATTTATTGGTTTTAGTACGACAACAATGATTACTTTTATCAACTTCCAACAAATTAGAATGTCTTTAATTATAGTAGTTAATGTTTACTATGAATGTGCTTTCAATATTTTGTCCTAAGCCATATATCGCATGCCCTCCTGTGTATTATATCCTATCTTCTTACAGCTCTGACCTTTTTGTGTATAGTTGTTTTTTCGGTAATGAGAATTCTTATTTTGCTTTCTTTATTGCAATGCTTTTAGGTGTCTATTTCATGGTTTTATAGTTTTTATCCAGCTCTAGCTTCCTCTTTATCAAATCGTACCAATCATGTAACATTTTTTAAATCTGCAAAATACCTTGCTTGTGGAGGTGATTTAAATTGAGTTTGTATGATGTGATAATGCTAACATTAGAAGTCTTCATCAATTGGTGTTTTGTGTAGGATATGATGCATGCTTTAAAAAATTCACGCTGACAAATTTTCTTCTTATTTTGAAGAAGGTAACTTATATATGTCATCAAAAACTTCAAGCTAATACATAACATAATGCTTTTTTTAATTATCTTTGATAATTTAAAAATATTATTTTTAGTCACAACTCAAGTCGAAGATAAAGATGAAGCGTTATGATGTTTAACACAATGATTATAAATTGTATTAACTGCAAAAGTAACTTCAAGTTATTTATACATTATCATAAACTAATTTTTTATTTTTGTTGCAGATGCAATAACTAGGGATGGCATCGCCATCCCCATCACCGCTCCATCCCTAAAAAAAAAAATCCATCCCCATCTCGTATTTCGTTCGGGACGAAATTTCACTCCCCATCCCCGTCCTAAATAAGACCGGGCCTCGTCATATTACTTTTTTTAAAGGTAAAATGACGAGATAGGGTGGGGATGACCATCTTCATCCCCACCCTGCAAAAAAAAAAAAAAAAACATCTTCGTTTCGTTTTTCGTTCGAGATAAAATTTTAAGCCCCATATCTATCCCAAAACGATGCGGGATAGGGCATGACAACAACAGGACGGGTTGGATTGCCTTCCCTAGCAATAACATAAACTATAAGTATGTACGGTTTGATTCCGAAGTAAAGTAACGAGGAAAAAAAGAGATTATATGGTTGCTGGTACAATTATTTCCTATCATGTTTTTTTATATATTTTATATATTGAACAAAATAACAACAAATTTTTTATAAATAATTTTCTTTATATCTAACAATATTTCTATATGTTAGAAACATTTAAATATTTTTTATTATTTTACTCAGTAAATGAATGCCATTTTTTTCTTTTAATGATTCTATATATTCTGCACAATTAGACGCGATAGTTTATTCTATATTAAAACAAAACAATTTTCTTAAAAAAAAAAAAAAAACAATTGTTTAGTTTTGAAGTTTAGAATGCAAGGATAATTTGGGTATTTACACTACGAAATAGACACAAAGGGTTCCTTCCCAAGTCCCACCCAGCTAAAACATTTAGACTTCGAGGGTTCCTGAACAAAGCAGCGGCGACTACAGCAGCAGCAGCCATGGTTCTCAAGTATATACGCTCTTCCTCTGTCGTTCTCCCTCTCCTTTAATGTGTAAACGATCATGAAAATTTGTTCTGTTTGTTTATTATTTCTCGCCATGCTAGATCTAATACGCTTTAGACCCATTTATGATATAATCCCTTTTTTTACTTTTATTTTGTGCATAGCCCGAGATAGGTTTTCCTTTTCTTTTTGGTTTGCATTTGCAGTTTAGTTTCATTTTCTGGTTCGTGATATTTTGGTTATTGGCATTTATTAGGACAGAGCTCTGTCGTTTCAGTGGGGCAAAGATTTATCCTGGGAAAGGCATCAGATTCATTCGTTCTGATTCTCAGGTATTATAATATAATGCTTACTCTGTTTCTGGTGTTTCTTTTTCCCTATTTTGTTATTTATTCTTTCTTTCTTTTAGGTGTTTCTGTTTGCCAATTCTAAATGTAAGAGGTACTTTCACAACAAATTGAAGCCGTCAAAGCTTACATGGACAGCCATGTACAGGAAGCAGCATAAGAAGGTGATATTATTTCTAATGTTGTTTATCTTTTGGTTTGCCCAAGATTCCTGTCATTCCCATTGCAAATCTTTGAACTGAAAGATTAGGATTTTGAAGTAAACAACCAAATATTCACATGACATAAAAAGAAGAAGAAGAAAAGCTAAATTTGTGTATCGATCCTCTTTATACATTGTTTTTCCAAACAGAAGACAATTTGATTAGATATTTTGTGCAACTCAAGTATCATAATTTTTGTGGCTGCTCAAACTGCCACATGGTTCTAGGTCTTGTACCACTAAGCCGTGATGTAGAAGAATCTAGCAGAGTGTAGTCTGTATATAGATTTTCTACCTTGTACATGACTCTGGCTATACATTCATGTCATTTTTCGCTCAGGATATCGCTCAAGAGACTGTAAAGAAGAGGAGACGCACCACAAAGAAGCCATACTCTAGGTCCATAGTAGGTGCCACCTTAGAGGTCATCCAAAAGAAGAGAACCGAGAAGCCCGAAGTTCGTGATGCAGCTAGAGAAGCTGCTCTCCGGTGTGTATTTCCTCTTGTTTCTAATTGTCAACCAAACTCTGGTTTATGCCCTACCTTGATGTGCTAGACTTAAATACATTGTGTTGTAGAACTATTATATATTACTTACAGAAGCACTGATCCCAAAGCATGGTCTATGAGTGAGGCTCGCAAATACTTGAAGCAGGCACCTCTCTTGATTGTTGAATCATCGTGCATGTTCTATATTGTCTCTTGCTTGAAGAAGTGATTGACTATGCTTTTGTTCGTGCAATTTTGATGAGGTTATGCTGACAACTGCATGTATTTTGTAGAGAAATCAAGGAAAGGATCAAGAAAACAAAGGATGAAAAGAAGGCAAAGAAGGCAGAAGTGATGGCTAAGGTGCAGAAGGCACAGGGCAAAGCTGGTGTTTCCAGGGGTGCCACAAAGGGTCCTAAACTTGGTGGTGGTGGTGGAAAGCGCTAAACTGCTAGTTTATCCTCTGTTCTTTGCAAGCTGGTGGCCTGTTTAGTCTGTTGAGTAATAGGTATAATGTTTGCTTTTTTTGGGATATGTAAGGATTGATTGGGCAACATGGCCATGCTTTTGGCATTTTTGTTATCTCATTGTCATGTACTCAGGTTTGCAGTTGAGCAATTTCTAGTTATTTTCTGGATTTTAATTTTGTTTTCACTGGGCAACATACAACATAGCACCTTATGCAACTTTAGTAATGGCATTCATCTTTTCCTGTTTTGCATGGGCACGTGTTATTGCTTAATGGTCCTTGGTATGTGTATAGTAGCTATTAGATCGATTTGTAGCGCACAATTGAATTTGAGAGTAGGGTTCAGGATTTGTGGATAGGACAACAAACTACAATAACGATGCTTCTGTGGAGAGTTTGAGAGGAGAGAGGTCGAAATTTATTTATAAAGTTGAGAGACGGGACTGGGCCAATTGAATCCTTGACATTTGCAACCGAGCACCATAACTAAGATGAATGGAGGAGGATCTTTTAGCTGATCATTTAGGCCGCAACTGATTACAACAAAACTGCTTGTGCCAATACAGGGTGCCAAGGCAGAGGTCTAGGGAGGCCTTTGCTTTTAGCTCTTGTAGAGGCATGTGGAAAGGCGTTCTTCAAAACTCTCATGTGATGTTGGAATTCTAGAATTCGTTATGCCAATTAGCAAATAAAATGTCACCAAATGTGTGGGATGAAGATCTCAAAAAAGGCAAGGTAGTAGGCACAATAGGATCTTCACTAGTTTAATTTAATATTAGTGTCAATAGCAAAAAAACAGAAGAACAAACCAGTACCATGGATTCTCTTGGAGTCATCGTGATGCTCTATAACTAAAAAGGTGAGAAGTTGAGGTAGTTCGCAATGAGAGCTTTGTCATGCCTCAGAGCCTCAGAGACTGTCACCTACTAACCGATGAGGTAAAAAACGCTTCAATGGACTTGCTGGTGCACAATGAGCTGCATTGCATTGCACAGTAGTAAATAGTGTTGCAGCCGATCTCTCTAGATGGGCGGATGTGAGAAAATCTACTTTATTTTGTGTCTTTTCTTTTCCGTTAATTCAAACTTGGACTCAAACAGTACTAGGAAAAGGGTAGGTCACATGAAGCATATCTCGTTTATTGAACCGAGGGATTTGCAAGGTACGGATAACGGTGAAAAGCACAGTGCCGTTATTATAATCATCCAAAAAGCCTTCTGGTCATATTTTTCATCAGTCTGAAGTCGTTAAGAAGGTTTAGTCTTTTCTTTGCATGTAAATTTGATAATACATATGCTACCACTTTAATATCTTCAGGTCTTGGATGTACTCCAGCCGCCCTCGAGTTGGTATGGAGCTGTGTGTTTTTTTGTTTCGTAGGAGATTAGATAAGCAGATGTAAAGCTTGATTCGAAAGGAACGAGATGTCATCGGCGAACATTATTAATAAGGTGTTGTTTCGGCTGGTAGAAATGTTTTCTATAATTTTCATGCCGAAGAGGAGACCGGAAGGCAATGAGAATCAATGGCTCACTAATCTGGGTCTCCCTATAATCCATGTTTTTTTGAGGGGAGAGGTTTGGCTCATATGGACTCCTCCAGAGACAGAAGTGTATAAATTAAATACATATGGTTCTACTTTGGTGGGTTATTGTAGTGGAGGAGGAGCAATTAGAGAAAGAGGTGGCCAATTTATTGCGGCCTTTTTTCTTAATTTTATGGTGCAGGTGATAACATGACGGAGGAGATATATGATCTTAGAGATGGTCTTAAATTGTGCCTTTTTCTCTTCTTGCAGCAGGTATGTGTGGAATCGGACGCCTTGATAGCGATTAATACATTGAACAAAAAAACCAAGACTACATTCATCAAATTCGCTAATATTGTCAGCATTTGAATAGTTATTATACATTCACACATGTTTTTAAATGGCAAAATACTTTAGTTGACAAGTTAGCAAATTTGACCTATCAACACAAATCTGCATGCACTTTCCATAGTTATGATGAGTTATCTAGTGAAATTTGTTAGACCTTATGACATCATAGATTTAGTATATATACTTATAAAAAATGATATTGTCGTGTATTCCATGTTTTTGAGATTAGGTTTTCTTGTCTCCTTTCCCATTGGGGTAAGGTTGGATTATTCTCTTTTTGTATTTTTTTTTCCTAATTAATAAAATTGGTCAGCATAGTAGCTTTTCTATATATATATATATATATATATATATATATATATATATATATAGTGAGAGAGAGAGATCTTTTAACATAATTCTCTCCGAATTAACTGTTAAATATCACATCCAACTTGTATTTTCTCAAAAAATCCCTAAAACACACTACAAAAAATTTCGGATTAGTAACGATCTAGATCGTCTCTAATCACATGAAAATCGTCGCTAATTATGTTTAGAGACGATCCAAAAACCCTCGAAAAAATGCCGGTTGGTAAATTTTACAACGGTTTGAGATTGTCTCTAAAATCTATGACGGACGGGAGCCGTTGCAATTTTACAACGGTTCTAAGCCATCATAAAAATCGTCGCAAAATTGTGATAGTTTTTGCGACGACTCCCGTCCATCGCAGAATAAACGAAATTAGAGAAGATTTATTCCGTCTCTAATTCCGTCGCTAATGGCCTATTTTTTTTAAAAAAAACTCAATTTTAAATTTTAAAAAATACCAAAAAGATTAAATTAATTGAATAAATTTATTTAAAATGTAATTTTTTTTATTAAATTAACAAATTCTCATAAACCTCGTAAGGTTTTTTTATTATAACAAGAAATAAAACATAATAAGTTACGATTGACCGACAGGATCTTCACTTGGAGGTTGGGTAGAATCGTCCGGAGGTCGGGCGGAATCATCGTCGGTGTTAGGCAAGAAGGATGAACTCGCCCGAATGCATTTCGTCGCATAAAAAATTGTTGCATCCGTGTCATCATCGCTTGTTGTTGTCAACCGTACTCCTTCAATCTTTTAGTTGTCTCTACCAACGATGTGACAATAGACTCTAGCCGACTATATCGATCCTCCCTCTCCTTTCGCCGTGCCTTATCACCAAAATTGCGACGTAAAGTTTTCAAACTAGAGGATGTACCGACGTTGGAGTAGTAGTGCGATGCGTGTGACCCGAGTCCATAGATCTTCTTTCTCTTATTATCTCCTCCACCAACGGCGGTCCTAAATATCTCATTCATGTTGATGTCCGATGATGAACTCCCCGCGGTCCGTCGGCTAGCAACCTCCTCCTCAATCATTCTTTCTACGGTCTCTCGCATAATTGTGAAATACAAAATATTAAACAGATTATATATGTTAAATAATGTTAAAAATTAATATGTTTGATATGACGTAAAAAACTAAAAGCTTACTCCGATAATTCTTGATCGTTGATCGACGAATACGTATTGATCATCAACCTTTTTCCGATTGGTCCTTTTAAAAACCTCGTACGGATCGGGTTCATGACCCAGTAACTCACCCTAAAATAAGTGGATGTAAATGTATAAAATATACTTAAAATTTTAATTAATTATATTGCAATCACTAAAAAAATTACTATATATAAATACATTTACCATACGTAGTACGTGCTCTCTATGGTTGATTGACCACCCCGTATGCCTTGAACGACCGGTTCCGATGCCACTAGTCTCGCACTTGCGATTTCGTTTCGTCATCTCAAATTAGGCAATGGCCTCGGGTTTTGCCCATTCCGCATGCCATGCATCCCATATGTTCCGTGAGATATATTCGGCTTCGATCCTTGCTTGAGATGAAAAATGAAATTGGAATACGACTTTCAAGCCGGACATTCCCATGCTCGTCTTAATAGTGAACTCATTATTCTCTCACATAAATGCCTTCGCAAGAAAAAGAAAAATATTCATTAGTTCACTTAATTTGATATTTCTTTATAATATGAAGTAATATAAAAAATTAACTAAATAAAGCAAGTACCTTAAATTCTTTTCGATAGAAGTTTTTTATTTTCGAACTCATTTTTTTCCATGTCCATCCGAAAATGCGAACATACTTGCAATCTTAGTGATATGCTAAGAGCAAACATCCAAAGGATACAACCTATGAAAGTAGCCATCAACTTAACAAATAAATGAATATATAATTATGGTAATGAAGAAAAATATTTTCATAAAATTATGCATAGAACGTACTCATTGTGACCAACAAGAATGATCAAAACTCGCGGATCAATCGTGGGTCCGATAGGTTTCAAAGCCGATGGACGACTCACGTTCGCAACCTTACTTATTCGGGATCAAAACAATTGTCTTGTTGCGATGACGAAGGCGTTGATGACACCAAAGGGAAATATACTCGAGGACGTTGAGAGGATGAAGTAAGCGGCTCGAGCTTAGGCCACGAAGCGGAATGATGGGTATATTGTGACGGAACTAGAAGGGTAGTATGGAGGCATTTGTATGAGGGGGTCCATTCGACCCAATAAGGAAGGAGAATAACATCCACGTCCACTATCGGTACTTGAATCGGTGTCCTCACCGTATGGCATGGGCCACCGAGGCCGAGTACGTCCCCTACCTCAAGGCATTTTCACTCGCACACTATTTCATTCATTAGTATTAAAATAAAATATTTATTACATAATACTCGCCATATAACATTCATATTACCATGAATAATTTTAAATATATTTAAATTTTTCTCTTCAAAATAGGGATGGTGCCCTGGTCATATATTGAAATAATGTGAAAAATTACATGAGGGGATAAAACCAACTTAGTCCAACAACATGGGAGGACAAGGTTGCCTAAACCCTTATTTGCTACTGGAATTATATAAAATTATAGTCTACAATATTATGGGCATTAAATATAAAAATCAAGATTACATAATGTAATAGCTAAGATCTCGCCATATTGCTAATCGGTGCCATGATCATCATTGTCACATTCTTCATTTAAGTCTTTCTCAAAATCTATTTCAA